CCTTGTAAATGTGAGATACTGCAATGCACCTACCACACTTCTGTATAAGGTAGGATTGATATAAGGGATCACCATCATCTTTTAGAAGCTTGTTGTAAGGCAAACAAGGAGTATCACAGGGTTTACAATCAACCATCTTAGTTTTAGTAAGAAGATCTAAAATATATTTGGACTGAGACAAACATAATCCAGTTATAGTTCGCGAATACCCAAAAACAAATGCAAGTTTCCTAAATCCTTGATGTCAAACTCAGTTGTTAAGGCATGAATAACTTGTTGCATAGCTGCACTTCCTGTGATGATAATATCATCCACATAAAGCAAGAGAATGACAATACCAGAATCACCCTTCTTGACAAACAAAGAAGAATCAGAATAGGTGTTTTGGAAACCCAAATGAGGCAAGAACTTTGTGAATCTGTCATTCCAAGCTCGAGGAGTTTGCTTGAGTCCATATAGAGACTAGTGTAGCTTGCAAACTAGATGAGGATGATTCACATTTGCAAACCCTGGAGCCATATACACTTCTTCTTCCAAAATGCCATGTAAAAAGGAATTTCTTACATCTAGTTGCCTAAAAGGCTAACTGAATTGAGCTGCAAGAGCTAATACTAGCCTAATAGTTGTGGGTTTAACCACAAGATTGAAGGTTTCCTCATAGTCAATCCTAGGTTCTTGACTGAACCCTTTAGCTACTAGGCGAGCTTTATGTTGAGCAATAATGCCGTCAGAATGTCTCTTTATCTTGAATATCCACTTGCATCCCACCAAATTCTTTGTAGAAGGTAAAACCACCAGACTCTAGGTACCTTGTTTATTTAAAGCATTGACCTCTTCTTGTATAGCTTTAAACCAAGTGGGATCCTTCATTGCAGTTTTGTATGTAGTTGGTTCAATGAGAGACAAATCAGTACACTCAGACTCCTGAATAGTAGCTAACAAAGCTTTCTTCTTTATAATCCCATTTTTGCTCTGATACCATGTTAACCAAGATCAATCTTATGCAACAAAGAAGAAGAATGCATAAAACTTAGAGCGAGAAAGAAAGAACTTAGAGAGAGAAGAAGAATATTCTTGTTATATTTCTTAATATCCAAGTAATACAAGGTTGAGATATTTATACTCCTACAACCACAAGACTAACTGCCTTAACTAACAAATCTTCTAATCTAATTACAAGTGACACCATCTCATACATCAAATTCTACACTCTAACATCCGATGCCATGAATCACCAAAAATCTCTAATGTTCTCCGAAACTACAAATCTCTAGTAAAAGAACAATGATTCGGAGAAATATTTTTTGTTATATTATTCAACAAATTGTTGTTTATATGATTTAAATTTAGGATTTTCTTCAACAAAGTCGGTAACCTGAATGTTGTCAAACCAAATAAGATTATTAATTGAAAGAAATCTTAAGATTCCTATTTACGTATTCCCTCTACCTTTTAAGTTTTGTAAGATGTATGTATTCTACATATCATTTTGTTTCAAGCTTTGTGTATACAATTGTTACTTTGACTATTACAAAATTCGTAAAGAATTTTTACAAATCATGATTGAAAATTTGGAAGTGACAAGATTTTGGTAGAATTTTTACAGAAATATAAAAGACAAGCCAAATTGTCACAAATCCATCACTTAAGACTGATATTTTTTGGCTTGTCACAAATCCATCACTTAAGAATTGATATTTTAAAGCAAGCACGATATATCTACTTGAGATGCCGTATATATCCCCCCCCATTAATTATTTGAAAAATGTTGGTATCCCTTGATCATCAATATACAGCTTAAATTCCTTTGTCAAGATCATAGAGATAAATCAAACACATGCTTAATTTGTCAACGTGTTTAACGCGCGGATACTTACAGAACAAAAGAAAATATCGATGTCAAAATTAGCATCTTCCTTAGTCAGAACTAAGAAGATGCCAGCAGCACCAACAACAGAGCACGAATCGCAGGCAAGCAAGCTACTGAAGTAGTGATCATATAAAAAATATATTGTTCGATAATAGAAATGACATATTTATGCACAATATAAGTTGGGGAGAGATTTTGATTCTTTTTGTCTTTCTGCTTTAAGATTTTGGACGGAGAAGTGTTATTCTGTCTGTTTCGAATCCACGAAAGCATGCATTAATATATATATGTATGTATAATGTTTATTTATTTTTCAAAAATTAATATATCTGTATATATCTGTGTGTGAGATAAAAGCAAATAGGGGTCCTCACGAAGCATACAAAGAAGAGAACTTTAACGAAAAGCATCCGGTACTGTTCATTTTAACGAAAAACCACATTTTTACACTAAAAAGTCAATCCTGGTACTATTCACTTTACCCTTTATTTTGTCCTTATCATTAAAACTCAAAGTTTTCAAGCCCTTTTCATTAGTTTTCCTTACAAAGAATCCTTTCTTTCCTTTCTGAGAAGGAATAAAACAATCGAGAGAATCTGTACAGGGCCTGTACCTGACCTCACACAAGAGCCTCTCACGTACCTGACCTCACCAACCCAAAACCCTAATTTGCGTGATGCCACGATCCGTCGTCGCGTTACTTTTTTTATCTTTAATAACTTTTGACTTAAAAAGTTGGCATTCTTTTTCCAACTTACGCTACCTACACGTGTAATTATAAGGACCTTATCCCCCACACACACTCTCGCATATTAGCTAGTTTGAACGAAAGAGAATAGTCATGGAAGGTACATATATCATGTGTTAGAGCTCATTTGGATATCCTTTTAAAATGACTGAAAACGTTTTTAGTAAAAATGTTTTTGGAAACAATCCTTAGTAAAAATGCTAATAAATCATGGAAAAACACTTAAAGTGCTTCCCGGAAAAAATGCATATTTAGTGATTTTTGAAGAAAACACTTAAAGTGCTTTTGAAACCCAAAAACATTTTATTTAAAACCGCTTTCAGTTATTTTAAAAGTACATCCAAACGAGTCATTAATGTAAAGTGTGAAGGTTCATGATGCATGAATAATATTGATAGTCGAAATGAATGCTTCGAATCATAAGATTATTTTGTGAAACAAGGCTACATGAGTGATTAATGTTGTATTAAGTTAGTGTATGAGAGTCCCGCACATATAACTTATTCTAAGTTGCATTTAATAACAGGTCTAATAAAATGTGCAGCCTAAAATATATTTATATATACTAATATATAAGCTTTTCAATGTTTTAAACTGCACTTGTCGTTAATATGGGTTAATATGGGGTTAATATATATGTCTTTGATATACCGTTGAATACTACAAATTTACAGTTGTCAATATTTTATCCGCAGTGCAGTTAACATTAGAATCACTGCTATATATATATATATATATATATATATATATATATATATATATATGTTATATGGAAGTCATGCATAAAATACGATGATAAATAGCCATGCATGCATTAATGCATATTTATGCATGCTGCAATAAGTACGAGAGAGCCGCGTAATGTACGGTCATGGAACCTCCAAGATGACCCTTGGCTCCCAATTGCCATAATGCTGGGCCATTTAGGTAAGGCCATTGTTCCTTAATAAAGTACTTTGTCACAGGCTTTCTATAGGTCGTGACACACACATGCACGAGAATATGAGATGAGACCTGAAATCACAGGTATGATCATTTCCTCCATATATATGATATAAAGAATCATAGTACCGATATATATATATATATATATATACATATAAATTGAGGAGTATAAATACGTATCCCTGAGACACGTTAGCATCAATTCGCATGACCAGGATTCGAAGTGGTGATGGAAAATCGATCAAAAGAAAGTGAAGGAGCTTTCCATTTGATGGGATTCATTCTTCTAGAGATGACTGATGGACAATATCAACATCTCGATCGACCTTTCAAAAACATGGTTTATGCATGGGCGGTCCAGACTAGATATTAGTAAGTTCCAGGAACATAGACAAGAAAATTAAATACATGTATTTTTCCAGTTATAGAATAACAAAAAGCAACAAACTACATCACTTTGACATGGAAAGATACATAGGGGATAACATTTGGGACCACGGCAGGACCTCATTGCATATCGATTTGTCATCTCACTCCATGTACGGCAGTTTTTGGATTTAGGACGTACCCCGCTGTGTATCATCGTCGGTCGAAAGTGAGAGGAGACTGATTAGTTAATTAAAATTTTCGTTAGGTCGCAAATTTGTTTTGACATTTTTGGAATGGAATGAAACCAATTTGTATTAGCTAGGCTTCTTGTGGGAACCTAATTATGCATCAGTACTTGATCAATTTTTGAGTTGTAAGTAGTTTTTGACAGGTTTGAACATTGCATATGTATAATTCTTGGGGACATGTATTTTCTCATTTCACTTGGCTCTCTGTATCCTTTTCATGAATTGGATGCGAATCCAAATACGAAAAAGGAGGTCCCAAATGGATAAAACCAACTAGTTTCTCCAACTCAGCAGATGCTTAAGGATAGATACGGCAGATCAAATACAATAAACCCTTTCTTGTAGTGAGCCGTTTATCATCAACTCGCCGAGTACCATAGCCCTTCCTATGTGCAGAAAATGTAGAACAAACGGAAATGAGTGTGTTCTCATATTAATATGTGACTTGGTGTTACCGTCATATAAAAGAAACACTAAACAAACATGTAAATAAGCAATCTAGCTAGCACAAGAGTAATAAATTATTAAAAAAAAAAAAAAAGGAGAATACAGCAAGGTACCCGTTTAGACAATAGCATATCATAGAACAAGATATGAAGGTGAAGCCGTACAAAGGACACGTCTCTATAATTTCCGTATGCAAAAAGATTCGGTTAATTTTTGTGCATGCAACTTTCATGCTCTAATAAAGCTACAGTGTGCAGCATTTGGATGGGATGGCTTAAATATCTATTGGAATTCTCGTTTTTCCTTCACCATCGAATTATTAAAGCAAACAATGCCAATCCACTAGTCTCCCATGTCCCTATATAAAGCCTTCCATCCTTCCCCAAATACTCACAACATCAAACCTCAATCCTCTCAACTATTCGCATTGCTCTCCTTACCCTTTTCCCAACTTCCCAATCTTTTTGACACACCTTTCACTTCAATTCTCATTTGCTCTCCTAAACCCTAATCTTCTTACATTTTTGAAGAGTTCTGCTAGCTACATTTCAATCAGCATGGATGCGGTGACAAATATGGCTTCAGAGAGACCAGTGGTGATCTTCAGCAAGAGCTCGTGCTGCATGTCGCACTCGATCAAAACCCTGCTTTGTGACTTTGGGGTGAACCCAGCAGTGTATGAGCTTGATCAGATGCAAAGAGGGAGAGAGATAGAGCAAGCTCTCTCTAGGCTTGGATGCAACCCTACTGTGCCTGCTGTGTTCATTGGTGGTGAACTTGTTGGTGGAGCCAATGAGGTCATGAGTCTTCATCTTAAGCGCTCCTTAATCCCCATGCTTAAGCGTGTCGGAGCATTATGGGTTTGATTAATTCAAACTATGGCTAATTAACTTGCATAACAGAAGCTATTAAGATTCCTAATTATGCATGCTTGAGATATTAACTAAACAAGTATCGGAGTCGGAATAAATATATATATATATATATATATATATATATATATATATATATATATAGATAATATCATATAATAAGGTTATTAACTTATTATGTACTCTAGCTTTTTTGTAAGATGCTATGTTTCTGGTTCTGGTTAATTATTATAGTAATAAAATCTTACTTTTTCTAATCTTGGTGCCTACTTATACAATGTAATTTCAATGTTCATGTAAGATCGAGCTTAAGTTGTGATTTAAGTTAATTAGGATTAAGGACAATCAAAATCAACGGTTAACACTAGCAGAATTTGTTATAATAATGCAAGCATATGGATATTTAGCCTCGTTATAATCCCCTCTGCAAAGGCCAATATCCTAGAACCAGATCACAACAACAATAATTCCCTTTCATTGTAACAACAACAACAATAATTATAAATGGATAAAAAGAATATTTAGACTAATTAATATCATTCATCAAACTTCCTATGAACTCACATTCACGTGAAATATCTATCTCTGCAAGGTAGTTTTACATGAGAGGTGATTAGTAATGGGTCGTTTGATAATAATTAGTTTTTGGTTTTTGGTTTTTGGTTTTCACTTTTAGGAAAACCGAAATCTTGTTTAGTAGCTAGTTTTAGTTTTTAGCTAAAAATAAATAAGAACTGAAAACCAAAAACTAAAAGCTCAAGATCAATTTTGAAAACTCAAGAAAATAGTTTTTAGTTTTCATTTTTCTAAAAACTGAAAACGAAATTATTATAATTGCCCTTATAAATTGGATATATATACGTGAAGCATGAAATGTATCATATGTCAAGATAACTTTGTAGGGAGGCAATTACAGCAGATTTCTCGGCTCAATTGAATTGGGAATTGAGTTCTCTTCCTACTCTTCTGGGGGATATAGTTTTTTATTTTATTTTATTTTACTTTTTTGAACTGGGAAGATCATTGGATAGTTTGGGTTCCTCTAGCCCTCAGCCCTCATGCTATATTTCTTATTATTATTTTAATACGACGACATATTTTATACACTAGAGATGAAGTTTGTACTATAACACACACAATTCGTTACTCATAATATCACTAGTTAGTGGCATTTAAAACTTACTGTTATAAGTAGAGTATAATATTACTAGATGATAGTGCTAAGTGACGGTTTTGCTATCTAAAGGAAAAAAACAACCTGTGAAATGGGCCTAACGGAAGCTAATGAATAATTGTCACTGTCTTAGGTAGTTAATAGATACGGCAAAGAATATATGTGTTTGGTTTTGGAGCAATTCCAAAGTTTGATACACTTGATCTCAACATGCAAATCAAGGCATTTCACTCTTTTGTTTGGGGTAGAGTAGTGGAGTGTGTATTGGAAGTTTAGGTCCCCACGTTTTGTCGGTCTGGTTTTAAGCAAAATTGGTGGCGGATAGCTCGTCTTTTTTACATATATAGGGATACCATTAATGGACAAACATTTTGACAAATATTTTTGCACTTTTTTAAACCCGTAGATTACATAACATCCAAGAGTCCTTATTGATTCATTAAATGACATAGATGTTTATGTGGATAAAAGTAACTGAAATAGCTTAAAATCTAGAAAGAAGTTAAAAATAAAATTAACAAGCCGGAAGAACCCTATAAGCATCCAAACAAGAAAGGAGTAGAACTCCATTGATCTGTAACCAACATCTCCCTGTTTCTGCAACTTCTGGTAGATCAACGCCGTCACCGTTGTCGTTCTCCTCTCTGCCAACTGGGAGAGGGCTTTGCTATTGCTAATATGGGGTTTTGGTGCTTCAATTTATCTGGGTTCTTGTTGCATGTCTATCTGCCTAGGGCTTTCAAGAAATATTACTCTGCCCATAAAGTGACAGATTATTGATATCCATTGTGCTGATGTCTACTGCTTCTTTTTTAATTTTCGTTTATTAATGTCAAAGAAAAATAAATGAATAAAAGATTTGTCTCAGTTTTTGAGCTTGGTCTCCTCCTTTCCTTGAGCTTGTCTCAGTTTCGGGCTTCATGCCCTTTCTTTGGCGATCATCGCTCTTTCTCCACCCTCCCTCTTTTTCGGGCGTCCCTTTGCAAACCCAGAACTTCATCTCCCCCCACCTTTCCTTTCTAACTCTTCATAATCTACCCGCACCCTATCCTGGGTGCTGCGCCGAATCGAAAATGGATGCCATATCCCTCTCCCTTGCTCACTTCTCTCCCCTAACTAGCATGCCGGGATCCCCTCGAGGCCAAGTGTTCTGTGGTTTTGGCCAAAGTAAGGGTATTTTACATACTCCTTAGCCTCACCTTCTATCCATGCTACTATGTTTGTATATATTTGAAGGGATTTGTCATGGTGTTTCTGATCTAGTGACTATTTCTCGGTTTGGTGTCTTTAGTGACAAATTCTGGTTGTAGTGTACTTTTAGTTGCTGGTTTTCTGTTATGATGTCTTGATCGAATTGACCACTCGATTGCTTTCTCTAATATTGCTGCTTTGGTGGCTACTAGCAAGACGTTCGTGATACCAGCGGCAGCGGTAGCCTATGTTTGGAAATTAGGGATTAGGGTTTTAATTTTCGTTAGTTTGCTTATTAAGCTGGGCTTTATGTATTTGATTCCCCCCAGTTTGCTTTGGGTTATTTTTGCTTTCTGTTTGGATTTGGCCTGTAACTTTTTCCACTTAATGAATGTTTCTTTTCAACCAAAAAAAATAAATTTCACACAAACTAAGTTTTATAGTTTTTTTTAAGTCTCACCAAAAAGTGATTTTAACATTCTCTAATTCAAAAAAATAAGAATAAAATTTCTCTCTCCAAATCGACGTTGCTCTTTTTCTCTCTCTCTCCTTCCCATTTTAAAACAAAAACAAAAAATATTTTAGCACACAAAGTGTGGGACATATGCTAGTATTTAATATATAGACACAAAACTAACACAGTCATAAAGTAGGCAAAGCAACTCATTAGGTTGTTAGTGGGTACCATTAAGACCCGTATAATTTAATATCACTAAGATATAGAGATGAGATTAGTACTGGTTATGATAGTGTAAGGTAAAATCAAATTAAATGGTTCTTAATTAATGGTACCCGTTAACAATTCAATGAGTTGATTTGCCACTTGTACTCGTGCATACTCAAACTAAACTAATTTGATCACAGTAGTGTATTCACTCAGAACAACACTTGGTGAGTAGGAGTTTCTACTCAAAACCATTCGTTGCTGATTTATAGAACTTCTTGTTTATGATCAAAGTCGTTTATATTATAAGTCACTCTATTAAGATCACATTTGCAAAAAATCAATTGAAACTAAGGTCGTTTAGTCATATAAAAACATATAAACGGAATTGGTAAAAGTATTACGGATCGTCTATGTATTTGCTACAATAAATTGACTAGACGACCTTAGTTTTAATTCATTTCTTGCCGAGATAATCTTTATAAAGTGATTCATAACATAAACAGTTATGATCATAAGCAAAAAGTTTTGTGATTTGAATACCAAGAGTTCTAAGTAGAAATTCCTACCCGTGTTTGAGTAGTCAAAATTATTCATTCTCTTATTTATCGTCACCAAAACTAATTAACAAAATAATAATAAAAAAAAAGAAAAAAAAAGATTAATTACTAAATCGCATCATTAACATGAACTAACCTTTTTATACTCGAGAATATCAAAACCATACAACACTCTACGAATCGAAACGTGGACGTAAACAGAGATTTGATCTTTTGAGCTGAAATTTGCAAGTCCCAAGACAACCCCAGGGACCCACTGTCGCATACAATAAATATCTCTCTCGAATATTTAACCGCGCTCTCTCAACTGTCACTCCCCCACCCAACGTTCATCCACACCACACTTCACACAAACAGAAAAAAATATGTAATTAATTTCCTAATTTGTATGGACATCCACAATTTCTTTTTTTTTTTAAATAACCATCCTGTTTATTGTTAAAGTTAGCAAAATACCTAATTAAATTTAAAAAAATAATTCCTAACATTTTAAAAAAAGAAAACTAATGAAAAGGACTTGAAAACTTTGAGTTTTAATGATAAGGACAAAATAAAGGGTAAAGTGAATACTACCATGATTGACTTTTTAGTGTAAAAATGTGGTTTTTCGTTAAAATGAACAGTATCGGATGCTTTTCGTTAAAATTCCCTTTTAAAAATAAGATAAAAAATAAATGGAAAAGTGTTGTTGCAGCCACCACCCAACTCTCTCTCTCTCGGAGTTCGTCCTTCCATTTCTCTCGTCATTCATCCACTACGTTTTTTCCATTTTCCCAATGATGCTCAAATAAAGAAGTTGTGTCAAATTTTTAATTATTTTTAAGTACGAATAATTTTAAAATATTATTATAAATTTATTATAAGCATTTAGAGAAATATGCAAATTTAATTAAAGGTGTTTGAAAAATAAGATGTTGGAAGGTAAAAAGGGATGTACGAAGAATAAAATTATATTTTAATTTATACTTTCTACAGTGACAATCTTGAAAATACTTGCAAGGATTTTTATCTTTCAGTAAAAAAAAACAAAAGGAAATTCCAGTGATGCACTACAGGACAACCAGCGCCAAGATGCTAACGTACGCACCTTAACCTCTGGTCTGTATAGTTACAGTACCAGCCTACCAGGCCCTGCCTCCAGCTCACTCACTCAGTTAAACTCACCCGCTCGTGATTCGGGATTTTCTCTCCCCCATTTTCCTTAACTTTCTCGGCAACCAAACAGAAGGCAAGCAACCACTTGCTCACAGCGACACTAAAGTAAAACTCTAATTATTTTGTTTTATTGAGAACTTCATTTGTTTACTCGAAGATTAATGTAGCTTCCCTTTTGAAATTTAGGATTTTGTTCGATTTTTTGGCGAGTCCGATGATGGTTTTTTTTGGCTTGTTTAGGGAAGGAAGAGGTTTGTTCCTGCTGCTGAGGTGGTTGTTTGACGAAGATGTTCGGTTTTTCTCGCAGGCGCATGAAGCTTGGACGGTGAGAGCTT